GTAATGGCTTGGCGATATCTTTTTTCTGCCTTGGGGGAAATTCTTGGTCTTCTTTTTCTCCTTCTCTTCTCTTCGTTTCTGCTTCAATGACATGTACCCCGTCAAAAGCGCTCATGTCCACCGCGATGACATTCGACGCAAGGCACTGGCCGCCATGACTACCACCAATAACCGTCAATCCAATCTCGTGCTCTCTGGACCACTGAACGCACTTTTGAACCTCTCGAACCGTTTTAGGCTTCACTATAGCAGCAGGATGGTGAAGTCTCGCCTGTCTATTCTTGATCGTTCGGTCTTTCCCTGCCGCCACATCTACTGGGAGATCCATCAGCGCAGTGGCGTGCCGGTTGAAAGCTATCATGACTTCGGGCGCGCTGAACTCAAGATGAGAATTCTCCCGGCGACACAACTTGCGGCATACTCTGCGCCAGCTAGCCTTGTCGTCCGTCGTCCCTCCCGCAACAAACGCAGCGAACGAATCCACCGCCTCGTCGTTATCCTCCACGCAGACACGGCCGTTTGGAAAAGTGGCCGTCTCATGGCACACCAAGCCATCAAATTCCAACGTGCCATCGCGATGAAACACAACCACCAAACCTTGCACATCCAGCATACCCAGTGCGCGTTCAATATACGCTCGTCTGGGCTTCATGCCATACATGCTGTGGCAAAACAACACGAGATCGTACTTGCTGGCCCCATCCTGCACTTCACCGTCTACCCCAAACGGCACCCATCGCACATCCAGCGCGCCCACAAGATTCGGAAACGCCAGCGCCGGTGCAATCTCAGTGGTAGTACTGACATCGCACAACGAACAACCCAGCCGCCCCTCCAACATCTCCGCAAACTCAGTATTCGGCTCAAACGCAGTATACCCAGCTATCTTCCGCCTCACGCGCCCGCCAACACGCGCAAGTACACTGTCCGGGCCTGGCCCAATCTCCAGCACCCGGACCTGCTCTCGCGATCCCCAGTGTCGCTCCAGCAGGCTTGTGAGCTGGGGGATTATGAAGGCGGTGTGGTTTTGGCGGCCGTGGGATTGGGTCAGGAGGTCGTGGCCTGTGGTGTATTGGGTGTTGGTGAGGGGGTGGGATGGGGGGGCGATGGAGTGTAGGGCCCGTTTTAGGTGGGTGAGGGTGGACATTTTGGGGGTTGAGCGAGAGGGAAGGGGTGGGTTTGGGTATGGGTGTGTGGGTGGGGGGGAGGGGGCGTGGTTGCTGATGAGGGCTATATATATGCATAGGCAAACGCGAACAGGCACATGGCTGGGACATTTTGTGACTGTTTTAATTTTCTGCCAGTTTAGTTTGCTTCACGTAGCAGGCGGCAGGCTTTGCTATGGGAGTTCTTCTAGTAAGACCCCTCTTACTCCTGTGCTCCTTTTTCTTTTGGGGGCTGTTTATCCCAATACCATACCATAATCCTGCCAGGCATGACTGCACGGGTTATGATAGTACATCGACTTTATCAAATTTATCACAAGACCCCATCCCTTCTCCCTATCATCCCTACCCACCACACCCCCCCCCTTTCCCCCCGGTTCCCCTTAACCCTTCCCCAACCCACAAAAACCCTTCCTTCTTTCCCCTTCCTTCCAGGCAAATACCCGCGGCCCCAAGACCCCAGCCGCGAGGCGCAGGCCTCGGGACCCTGTGTTTGGGAAGCTGTGGCTGGTTGGATGGGTAAGTATGCTTCCGGGTCGACGCTAGTGCAGAGACGTGTGGGCTTTGTTTTGCATATGAATGTCTGGTTGGAGGGATGGAGAGTTTTGCTTTTAGGCTGATTTGGGGGGGGGGGGGGGAGTTTGGAAGGACTCTGCTGTCATGTTTCAGGTAGGTGTGACATGTCCTCGTTCTTCACATGTGCGTTCATTGAATAAGTTTTGCTGTGGATATGTAAAGCTAGAGCATTACAGTTTGTTGCCTTCAAGATTTCGGAAATATAGTGGGACCAATGTGTAGAATGTGTGTTGCAGGAGGGATAGATCAAGGTTTTGTAGCTACTCCGACATCTCAAGCAGCAGCGACATTGGCAGTATGTTTGCGTGTTCTGTGCAGGTTCATGTCCGAGTCAACACTGCCATTCACCAGTAAGAGCTGTGTTTCGAATCTTTCTCACAGAGCGGAGTCGCATGCATGTGGAAGTTCTGGCTTTACGGCGTAGAAGACAGGAGGAAACTCATCATATAATCCACATGGCGCTTTGAAACGCGAGCCGGCAACACTGACAGGAATGGATTTGAATTGCGAGCTCAGGAACAAGAAGTCACCGTGTTATATAATGAAATACTTTAGTCAACAGGTGAGAGGAGATATCCGAGGTAGATGTGTATATTTTCGAAAATTCTCACTCAGACATTAGTCTTTGATGGGAAAGACTTAGATGCAAGGGCATGGAACTTGGGGTTTTATTTTCTTAGAGCGACGTGGGAAAGGTGAGAGTCAGACATGCGCAAAGTGTAGTCATGTTTGATGGTCTGCCATACTGAAAGTTTTGGATGACTTACAGGCGGCAGTTGACCATTCTTGCGACAGAAGGATGTCTTCAGGCTCGAGTGGAGAAAAGCGTGTGGAGCGGTGAGAGGAGTGGTGGATGGGGGATCTGAGGTATATGTAGACCATAAAGTCACGTGATGGTCCCTTGGGTCATTAAGGCTCCCGTAGCGGAGTGTGGTAGTGCCTGGCTCCAGAGACTTATGTCGTTGATATCACATGCAGCCAAAGTCACTAAGATCACATGTTGCTAGTGTTTCATCTTGTTGTTTTGGTGCGATATACACCCTCAGTCATGTTCCCAAGCAATGCAAGGCTAAGGAATCAGTCTTGCATATGACCACTTCTGTTGGATAGCTCTTGTATACCACGAGGATCAGTGACATGTGCTCGAGACATAGTTCTTGCGGGGTAGGACTTTTGCTCAACTCAGCACGCACACATGATCTTTCGTCTTTACACTTTTCCCATCTTCAGGGCGATCTTCCACATGCCGTGTGCTCGTGTGTGCGTGCTATCTTTATAGATGCAGGATCACTGGCGGGAAATAAAAGTTATTGCTTATCAGGCGTTGAAGTTTCGTTCAAGCAAACATCTCTTATTCCACTTGCACTTTGGAACTTCCAATGAGGATGAAGATGGTCGAGTGATGGATGGATTAAATACAGATCTACACCACAAATTTGCGGGAGAAGCAGGCCATAGCGTACAGGAGCAGCATACAGACACAGTTTGGTGAAGTTCCGCATCTCTCAATCATTGAGTGTGTTTCCCAAAGAGTATTGTAATCCATGTGTCGAGTAATCCTCTCAAAACACCATGCGCTTGTTTCTCTGTTCTTTTAAGATTTACGTGCGAGGAGTTGCTCCAAAGACAAACAAGCGCATCATCGGACTGCGAGCACAATTTGGATACAACTGTATTTGTCGTAGGTAGCCGTTGTGAAGATGATTAAAGACGAGCACAGTGGTACCGTACGCTTTATAGCTAATCATTGTGCTCAGATCTTACTAGTCGATACCTAAACACTTAGACAGGATACCCTTCCCGACACAAGATCTTGAATGCGTTTGTGGAGAGCGGATGCACGAATAGCACAGATTGATCAACGCCCTACCTAGAACACACGTACATCACAAAACAATGCGAAAAGGCCACGAAACTGAATCTCTGCATCTCGAACCCAACACACGCCACTGCACTCACCGATCCGCAGTGGGCTTTAGACAGACAACACGCGCAGCCTCGGCTCTTTAGCACATAAATCTGACATGAATAAGTGTTCGATCCACACATCAAACCACTTGCTCACTCTCTTGAATCTCAGCCTGCCAGGTAATGTCCAATCACTACCGCTCAAACAACACACCGCGCACATCCTACTTCGGTACCCGCACTTCCCGTTATAGGTATCTGTGGCTTTGATCCAGCACCGAAGCTGTACACCGTAGGTAGAGAGCGAAGGTGTGGAGCTGCTGACGAAGAAGCCATATATATGAGGACGTACGCGTAAGTCCCGAAGCATGTGTGGAGACACAAATGTCAATGAGTTTGGGTGTGGTAACCATGCGGCTATAGTACGCAGATGTGAAGAGCACATGGCGATTGCGCAGATGGTGTATAGACCGATTAGATGTGTAGAGTAGTACCTGGAACTGGTAGGGACTAGCCCCACCCCGCAGTCACCGTAACACCCAGACTCTCAATGACTACCCATACCCCATACCCCAATGCCCAAACCCCACGCCACAAGAAAACAACACCAACACCACCAAGCGATAGCAATACCGCCCCTCTCGTCTCCCGCTTCCCATCACCCTACCTACCCCAAACACATAATTATATCCATCTTACACCTCCTTACATCCCACATTTAATATCCCACATCCCACCTCT